CGACTGATTTCCGTTGCGTGATGTCCAGTAGGGGGCAATGACGGCATCCTCTTCTGTCACCCGGAAGTTGATGTCTTCACCTCCAGAAATACCATTTAGGGACATAAATCCATCATATGACACCTTGGAAGCAAAAAAACAACAGCACAAACCTCAAATGTTTGGATGAAGGGGAAATAGTGAGGCACAAGTTACCATAGTAACCAGATAAATGTACTCAATGCGCAACGGGACAGTGTATTTAATATTAAGAGTTAGTTGTAGGACGTCAGTATTGTCGGTCAGTGTTGTGCAATGTTATCGCGTGGGCTGATTGTCAAGTAACTGGTGGTGCTAGTGGACATTATAGCGAACTTGTGGCTTCTTGGTCCTTTTCTTCAGTGAAAGTTCGAGAGGTACTTCTTGTCCGAGTAAAGTACCGTTGATCCGCCCCCCACGCCATGTCGCTTCCCAGCTGGGTTTTCGACAGGGGGCGGGGATTAGAGAGGGGACGGATCAAAGGTACTTTTACAAATATGGAGGATAGATTCTTGGTTGAAGGACTGCAATTCAGCACACGAAGCACAGAAGTCGATCTCATGCAATAAGACAACACTGCCTGTTTTGTTCTTCGACATTAAATAAACCAATCCAAGCCAAGCCAAGCGATATAGTTTCGACTAGGCCTTTCGTACCATTACCTTTTCAAGTCGAATACAATGATGATTGACAAGGTAGCAAGCATGTCCTTATAACCGGCACTTTGGCGGCCAGAGCATTGACCGAAATGGCACTGCTTTAAAAGATAGCGTTAGTGGCGCCACAATCACATACCGGTAGTGAAACAATGAATATTACGTACTAGTATTAAGCAACAGTGGGGATGACGGTACTATAAGTGCTGGTTATAAGGACATGCTTGCTACTGTAGAGGCAGAAAATTTCGTCGGTCAATAATTTCGTCCAACTCCAAAGAAAAGGAGTTCGTCCGGTTGAACATTTCGTCCATGGGTCATAAGAGTGTATAGAAACGCTGGACAAATCGATATTCGTCCTACATTAAATTTAGTCCAAAAGCTCCTTGGACGAAAAGGACAAAATTAAATTCCAGACGAATATTTCTGCTTGTACAGTACCTTGTTATTCACCCTTGTATTCGTAACAATGGTACGAAAGGCCTTGTCGAAACTATAATATTATGGCTTCTGTGCTTCGTGTACAAATATGGAGGAGTACACTTTCCATCACTCCCCACGCACTCTCTCTCTCTCTACTGCTCTCCCGGATTTGTTTATTTTATTTTAACTTTTCTTCAGGATTCCCAAACTCCATTGCAGCGAATTTCTTGCACTTGAAAATACCACTATTCCGGCAACAGGCTCTCAGCTGCACCAAATAGATAAATAAATAACTTTGCCATTATTTCGCCCATTTGTTGCCGGAATGGCGGTATTTTCAAGTTTATTTTTACTCTTGCACTTGTAAACACCGCCATTCCGGCAATAGGCTCTCAGCTGCACCAAATAAATAACTTTGCCAATATTTCGCCCATTTCAAGTGCAAGAAATACACTGCAATGGAGTTTGGGAATTCTGAAGAAATATTTTTACTCGTATTTAAAAAAAATATACTAGGGAATTCTCAACAGGCGTCATCGCCTTGGATACCCCCGCCCCCTAAATCCGCAACAGTGCAGCAGTGTACGCCGTGCCAAAACTCG